TTTAACCTTTACGGTTTTACTTCCATAGTTTTTGTTTTATACTTTTGCATTTTACGGTTTTCATACTGTAGTTTTTTACTTCATGGTTCTTCTATACGGTTTTCTTTCGATGGTTATGGTTTTTACGGTTTTTTTGACGGTTATTTTTTCACCGTGCAGTTCTCAACCTCAATGTCTTTTCAAACCTCGAAAATGCGTTCAGAAAATTTGATGAAATTTAAGAATCAAGCATTAATTTCTTTGGTTTTATATTCTTGAACTAAGACGTAGCAGTTAAATAATACTGATTTTAGTAATGCAGAGTCTTGAAAACAAAGTTTCCATAATGACTGAATGAGAAACTACTCACCTCATCTGTATAAAATCCTACCACTTGCTTCTATTATATTATATACACGCATCGTTATATTGCCCGTATTTTACATGTACTAGCATAAACAAAACAACAAGATTGTGGATTTTTTAAACAAATCTAAAACCTGCTATCTCAAGATATCGTTAACAATCGACGAGTCGTATAACAAAGCGAGTATAGATTATCTCATTAGCCAACAAACAGTTCTTTTAAAAAAAACGGTCGTTTCAGAAACTCAACCTATACTAGAAAATCAGACAGTTTTCTCCATATCAGCAAATTTTCCTATTAGAAATGGCTATTTCCGCACCCGGCATAAGCAAAAAACTTTCAGATAGAAAACCCTTAGACCCTAGAATAATCTACCACCAGTCCCATAGAAAAGTCGACACAGCAACACATTCATTTTTTCCAAAAAAAACGATACATTCACGTGTACTCTGCAAAACAGAACCAAAACAAGAGCTTCATCTCTCGTCACTAGCCGCGGACCTAGGCTTTCCTGAGAATCCTAGGACTGCTCTTAATTTCAGTGAATGAATCCCAGCTATGCGTTCAGCATCCCCGTGATCGAGTTTCTTCTTCAACGAAGGTTTTAAAATCTATAAAAAGAAATCACGTCAGCTCCACGAGCTTCGATGACCTCCACGTCCTTAGCATGTCCTACCATACCAGACTCTCTGAACTTCTCTACATTACCTTACCTTACCCCACCATATCTTCACGTCTTCGCACTTCTCTACATTACCTTACCTTACGACACCAAACCTCGACGTCTTCGAACTTCTCTACCTTACCTTACCTCATCATATCTTCACGTCTTCGCACTTCTTTACTTACTTACTATTTTACTTAATTACTTTTAAGCTGGTTAGTGGTGTTCTCTGATCGAACAAGTATTTCGTTTTTTCGGCACCTTCAATAGCGTCTGAAATATTTTGTAATGTAACCAAGTAATTATCAATAAATAAAGTTTAAAGGAAAAAAATCAAGTAATTCCAGTGCACAAGTCCACAACCTATAACCAAGGTCAGTGATGAGTATTTCGATATCTTTATTTTCATAAGAAACAATTGCAACTCTTGAAAAATACAACGAGACATAATAGAATAAATATTTATTTGTTTAAATATTTTTCGATAATATTTCTTCCAAAACTGATTTCTTGTGCTGAAACATTAATTGTTCGACAGTTTTTGTAGTGAAATAACAATGTTAACATGACTTGTGACTTAAAACTTGAGTAACCGGACAATGGTGTCGACAAACCCTTTAACCAGGAAAACATCTGCTCTGCAATTTCACTGTTTACACCACGAAACATTGTACCGTGACTTTCATGTTCAGCGCGCATGATAGTATTGCAAATGTGCCGAGTATGATTAACTTGATGAAATCGATCAATTACCATACGTAGTTGACTGATATGGTCAGAAAAAATTGATTTTTTGAAGTGATCATCTTGATAAAAATGTTTGTCGATGAATAATTTCAAACTGCACGCGTTATCATACATCATGCCCATCAGCAATTTGACTAAATATAATGTCTCCAATAAAAATAATAAGCATCTACGTACCGATTCACTTCGGTACAACTCGGTGAAAGGACCAATAATTCCACATGGAAAAAACAATACTAGCACTCCGCAACTCGTCAGTCGTTTACCATTTGTTTCTGGTTCGATACGTGACATGTTACAATCAGAAACAGGATTATCCAGGCAATCATTATCTCCCTCTAAAATCATTCCATCTGCTTCGGTACTTGTACCATCAATGTACGAATGAGTATCGCAGAAATGAGATCCTAAACCCAAAGGATACTGGAGATTAAATCAATTCAAGATAAAGAAACAAGCAAGATGCCTACCTGCTATAGATGTTTCACCACAACCCACAAACACATCACCTAATTCACAATTTTCTTTAATAACATTTTTGAATCGACAGATGGGTCGGTCAATTTTTTGTTGTCCATCGACAACAAAGCAAGAAGAACACGTTGACGATCCACATTTTCTTGTTTCTTTGTGGTTACCCCACATAATGACAAACAGTTTCCACATTTCTTTCTTGATGCCTTCACACCATCGTTTCAACGCCACTTTATCTAACGAAAATGGAATTTCACTCGTACAGGAATTGTTCATGAAAAACTTAAACTGACAAATACCAAAAACTAAAAACGCCGATTGAAAATTTTGACGATCTAAAACCACAGGTTGAAAAGTTTGTTGTACTGCCGACGTCCGTTCACCTTGCATCATTGATAAATCATAGATCGTAGCGTTATATGCGCTTGTGTAACCGCGAAACGTCGCCCGACAAACAATCAGTTGATGAGTGAAATGTATAAATAAAGCCACATCATACACGTTTTTACCACCAACAGAAAAGTATCGCGTCTGTTTAAATGCATCGCAGGTAACGATATGTTGTCGTTTTATTGTTGAATATGAATTAGGATAATGAGAATATCCGCATTTTTTACAATATTCGAAGTATAAAACACCTAAACAGTACTCCGATTTTATTATAACGCAATATCACGGTACCACTTACCTTTTACAACCATATCCAGTTTAAATACATTAACAAAAAAGTCTGGTGTGATGGATAAAACACCGCCGCATCCAACACACACTGATGTAAATGGCAATATTTCAATAGTAGTTACAAATGAATTAACACATGACAATTGATACTTTCGAAGCATACTTTTAATACCAATATTAAAAAACCAACCTAATGATTGTCTACTTGATACCACATCAAACATCGATCGAACATCAATTCCAGAATAAAATGTTCCAAATTCTTTATTTATTATTCCAGTAATGTGCAACGCTCTGTCCGGTAAATATTCACATAAACGATTGTACAACATTATAGCATACACAATATGTTGTAACTTCATGTCACGATTCAGCATAATCATGCATTTTTCATCAGCATTTAGTTTCATTTCCATTTTCAAAAAATCTATAACCAGCTGTACCACTTTACTAATTATTCAGTCATTCGCCTACATCTGCTCACAAAACAAGTCGAACGAAACCGCGTCATTCCAATTCATCATGTATTTAATTAAAACTGAGGAAAAAACATACAACATAAAACAAAAAAGGTCTTCTGTTTTAAAATAGTGAAGCAATATGTGTTTTTAATTTATTTCATGTTTCCTTAAGAACGACCTCATTGTTCAATTTCTGAACAAAACACTGAGGATAAAGCACACTCACACATAAGTCATTTTCAGCATTAAATACCGCATATTTCCTTTCGATGATTCGATAAAACAAATACAAAACAACAATATGAAAATAAAATGATTAATCACAAATTCACATATTCGCAGTAAGTCACATATTTATGATTTTTTTGAAGAACGAGTAACACGATCACTAGCAATTATATCATTTTTATGTGTTGAATGCGATCGTCGGTCTCCTTTTATTACGAAAAGTGAATAAACAAGAATTTTCAACTCTTGCAGGTTTCGTCACAGCGCTAAGAATTCCTTTCCATAACATAGCAATAAGTATTTCTTGATGAATTTCATTCGGTTCTCCACTTGAAACTATCATGTACTTCAAATTATAAGGCAGGTGTCTGTTTTTGAATAAATCAAGAACAGAAAGCGGTAGAGACCTGCGACTAACTCTCTCACCAACTAAAACGGGCAAAATACATAGAATAATATGATAATTCCAGCGTAAATCACACGTCCAGCATACCCAAATTTTCCTCCATTTCTGATTGATTCTTTTCACCGTAACCGCTTTCATCTTTATTCTCATTACTGCTATGGCTTAACGGCAAATAGGATAATGCTTTTTCACTGACAGTTCTTCTTGCATTTAAATCTTCGTTTTCATTTTCTTTGTTTAACAACCATGATTCTTCTAAACCAACAATCATTTGACCATTTGCTTCATCACCTAAAACAGGCAAAATACACAGCTGCTGCGAACATTCGAGCATAGCCTACATGCTTCACGCACCCGATATCTCCTCAAGTTGTGGCTGGTTTTTTCCATCACGATTATCTCCTTCACTAACTGCAGCTTTCAGTCACTTTTTGCCATCGTCAGTGTATTTGAAATCACCCTCAAAAATCGCACGAATATAATGAGGATGTGAACCATCATGCGCTATGAAAAGAAAAGAAATCTGATCTTCTACTTTCAAAAAAAAGCACCAGCATACATTCGACTTTTCAGTGTTCAGGTACAGCATCCACAAAATCTTCAGCTTCACATTCACTATTGCTTGTAAACAAAAATGTTATCTCATCAAATAATATCAATGCAAATAACAGTTGACGATAGGATGGTAAACGATGGTTGTAAGCCAGTTCCGAATCCGTAGTATTCAACATTGAAATACGTTTCGAAGTTATCCGGTTCGGCATACAATAAAACAAGAATCGTTGTATCAAGCCATCGGATCAAAACAATCTGTCAACACTTTTTCAAAATGCGCTCCTGTTGTACATCCAATGATTGACAAATACCCATTTTCGATATTTCTTTGATTCGCCCTGAAAATGAAGTGGAGACTATCAATCGATCATTTGTACAGATATAAATTTTGCATAACTCACGTGGTTTCACGAGCGACGTTCGTAAAACGATCAAAGCCGTGCATTAGCGCGATTCGTCCTTCTGATTTACTCATGTTATTTGGTTCAAACAAACCAAATTTCAAAAGGATTGCATCAGTTTCTGATGATAATGCTAGAACGTGTTGTTCTTCCAGTTTTTTTAATAACTGACACGGTGTTAAAGAATCAATGACATTTTTATCATCAACTTTCGTTTTTTCTTTACTAATAAGCGATGATTTAACGCTAGTCAATTGCTGTTCCACAAAACGCCGTCTTTATCATCAATGTGGAATAACTTGCCGAATAAATTACGTCAAATACATAAACTAACGTCTTTCAGACAAGAGTTATCGAAGTTCTTTTAGAAAGAATTTCAGAAAGAATTAACATAAAATTAAGAGTAATGAGAGGAATGAATAGAAGCGCTGATATCGCGTTCTATCAAATGCGTTGTGACTTTTCGACATTGGAATCTGACTTAGTGAGACGACATATTTTAAAAAACAGAGGCGATGATCTTTGTGACTGTCTTCAAAGTGAAACAGTCGAGCACTTCTTTCTCTTATGTCCAATTTACCATTTAGTTAGAGTGAGAGTTTTCGATAGAATAAAACATCGTGACGCGACTGTCAACATCGATATTGAAACACTACTCCTACGGAAAAGCGTCCCTCATCATTTTTATCAAGATCTTTATAAAACAATAATAAATTATATTTGCGAAACAAAACGTTTCGAATAAGCAACACTTCCTCTCTATTTCTCAGTTCTTTTCTGCTTTCCTATCACATATTTTGCAACTAAAGTCATTTTCTTAAATAAACATTTTTTATTTTTTATTGTTAATTTTCTTTCAGTTTACTTATTGTTTCTACTTCTATTTTTGATTGTCATTCTGATGGTTACTGGCAACGTACGACACCGTGGACTTGCACTTCTTCCTATACAATGGCGAGCTGATTTAGCAGGGAGTGTCAAGAAGCTTACAATATTTTGCAAAAATAATTCATCACTTTCCAAAACAATTTTTATTGAAGGTAGAGCAAGTTTACAATATGCTTTTACAATATTTGAAATCAGTATTTCATACTCTTTTTATGTCCCTATTTCACAACTTTCATCTATGTTTTTGTGTTAACCCACATTGACTAAAATAAGAGCATATAGTTTTTGACTGCGCCAAAAATGTATGCACCAGTTGGGGCATCTGGAAGAATTGCCATACATCGGTTATCAAGATTCTCTCAGAGCTGCGAAACATCTCATTTTGTAGAAAAATGTTTGTTCAGCAAAATGCATTTGTTAAAAAAATTTCGTAGTTATTTCTAGCAAAACCTAGAGCATTCTAAAATGCACTAAATCACGAAAAATAACCTGTTCGTTTTTAAAAACTTTCAAAAC